CAGTGTCACTCCAGGAGAGGAGGGGGCAGGAGGGGTCTCAGCTGTCCCAGCCCTGCTGCTCAGCCTGCTCAGAGCTGGGAGTGCCCCCAGGATGTTCTCTGGTGCCTGCAGGGAATGTTCACCCAGCTGGAGAGGCCTGGGGCATCACAGGCTCTGTGCATGTGGCACTTGCAGAGAGGTTTTCTCTTTTCCTCTTGTGTGGCTGGGAAGGAAATTCAAATTACCCGTGGAATATAGAAATAGCTAGAAACATAAAGCTTTTTGCACCTCTGCTCATGCTGCAGCACCAGCTTCCCTTTGCAGCTGACCTCCAGGCCTGGGCTGGGAAACATGAATTCCCAGGTAATCCCTTCCTGTGTTAAACAAAAACAAAAGCAGAAAAATCCTTGCAGCTCCAGCAAACCATCTGACTGCAGAAGGTACCCAGGCAGCTCATCCTGCCCGTGTGAGGACTCTGCTGTGGGATCCCACCTGCTCCCAGCCCTGGAGCCAGCAGAGCCAGTGCAGGGGCTTGGCCTCTGTGCAGGAAGCTCCAGGCAGGAATTTATTCATTGCTCAGCCTGGGCTTGCTGCCTGGAGCTCAGCACAGGGTTCCTGCTCCCAGTGGTGCTCCCATGGACACCCCAGGCTCTGCCCAGGGCAGAGTGAGCTGGGATGTGGTGTCAGCCCTGCCCAGAGCACCCCACAGACAGCCCTGCTGCTGCTGCTGCTGCTGCTGCCCTGTGCTGGCCGCTCCTGTTGCCAGCTCTGCACAGGGCTGCTCTGCACCCTCAGCAGCACCACTGGGGTTGGCTGAAGGAGTGGAGAATGCTGGATGTAAACAGCCAGCCTGGCAGGATCTGGGAGCGTGCCCTTAATCCCAGCCCCGTTCTAATTCCCACTGGAGGTGGAATGCCAGGCTCGCTCTGCTCTCTTGGTCTAAATGTAAACATTCAGCCTCTCACAAGCTGGTTTGAGTCACACTCAGATATTATTCATAGGATGTGTTACTGTGTGGGTGAGGAAACCCTTCCAGGGCCCTTCCAGCTGGCACCTGCTGGCAGAGCCCTCCAGGGCTGTGCTGGGCTGTGCCCTCATTCCCAGGGAACTGGGCCCCGCTGCCAGGTGGGCTCAGGTAAAGCTCAGCTCAGGTCAAGCTGAGCTGCTCTGTGCTCTGGGTTTTGCTGTGCCAGTCCCTGGAGCTGGGGACAGCCCTTCCCGAGGATCCCAGTGTCCTCCCAGGGGATATTGAGCACTGATACCATTTTCCACCTCATCTGTAAAGACTTTGTGATCCTGTATTTTGTCCCACTGACTACAGCCTACCCCTGGCTTTCTGCATCTTCATGGAAGTGTTTTCTACTCCTCTTTCTGGAAACACAAGCCAAAGTCAACTGGAAACTGTTACTGGCAAGTCAGCCTGGTAATGATCTGCTCTGAGGGAGCTGAGGGTGTAAATGGGTGCTTGAAGGGCCCTGACCGTGATTGGGATCATTGTTATTCCAGGTGATCCTGCTGTGTCATGGGCAGAATTCATGGTAAGATAACTTCTGCTGGGGCAGTGCATGATCTATCAAAGAGCACCAGGAACCAGCAGCAGCTTTGGTTGAGAAATAACTTCAGCCCAATTTACTGCCAGTCAGTGTGAGAAATGTAAAGACTGAAAGGAATAAACATTGTGGACATTAAATGTAAAGAATCCATCTGAGGAGAAAGTACATTGCTTTTTTCCATAAATGTTTAGTAAATATTAAAGAACTAATGCAACCTAATAATTTTTTCACAGTATTGTATTGCTTTGAGAGTATCCATAAAAGTTACATAGGTAGGAACAGATAAGACCCATCACGGGTTGTTGCCCTGTGTTCCGAGAATTGGGGTAATTACTCAGCTCTCTGGGCATTCCAAACTTCCTTCTCCCAGCATCCCTGTGGCCTGAGGATAATCACAGCACGAGTGTCCTGAAAACCTTCAGCAGGAGGAGCCTCTCCACCTGCACTGCTGAGCTGAGAGACCCCCAAGCACCTGATGGAGCCACGCGCTGGTCCCGTGTCCCCAATGCTGGTCCCTTGTCCCCAGGTGCTGGTGCCATGTCCTTAACGCTGGTCCTGTGTCCCCAATGCTGCTCCTGTGTCCCCAATGCTGGTCCTGTGTCCCCAGGTGCTGCTCCCATGTCCCCAGGTACTGGTCTCATGTTCCCAGTGCTAGTCCCTTCTCCCTAGTGCTGGTCCCATGTCCCCAGTGCTGATCCTATGTCCCCAGTGCTCGTCCCGTGTCCCCA